CAAAGGTATGTCATAGTGTGAGAATGACACAATAGAACAGAGACACCGAGCAAGCCCACAACAACCAGAAAAATGGTGCCAACATATCTGCTCGATGCAGGATTGCAGCTGACCTTCAGGGAGTGGAACACATGGCATCTGTGAGGCGCAGGGAATGCTGTAAAGCGAGGTGAGCCTGCACTAACACAGTTCATTCTACGGTAGCGGAATTCTGTCTCAATAAACCCGTTATGAAAGACGACACACAGCTGAAGCTATCACCAAGCTAAGGCAAAGGCGGAGATGATCACTGATTTGAACTCTGTGGCCACGTATCACCTCAACAAGTGTTCAGTTTCACATCAGCAGTTCTTCCATCTTCCTTCCTCAGGGCAGCTGGTGGATTTGAACTGCAGACCTTTGGGTGAGCAGAGCAATGTATCACACATTACACCCCTAGGGATCCTCACGAGTAGTTTTTGCAGACTAAGTTTTAGAAGGATGATTTTAAAAAATTCATTTCACTTTGACATGGCATAGAATCACTCGGTACAAGAAGTTTTTTAGAAAAAGCTATATTGTCATTTACTCACTGGTTCCCCACAAACGAACTTTTCCAGCTTAATTTCACATCACTCTTAAATCACTTCTGATTGCATATGTTAAATTTAAACCTTCAAGTTGGAATTTTGACCAATAGAGTGTCACTGGAAAATATGACTAATGTTCTCTGGATAAATCTAAAAGTGTTCCCCTTTATCTTAAAACTGTAACATTGATGTCTGTTCTGTGTTTTTAGCACATTTTTGCCTAGGAGACTTACTTCAAATGAGATGCATCTGTCTTTGATTTTGCACACAGGGTTTCCAATAGTACATACTCCCTACATGATAAATTACCTCTTTATCTCAATATAAATCTCTGAGGCTCGTATTTCTAAAACTTTGAGTTTGAGACCAGGAGCCTTTAACAAGGGTTGTGTGAGGTCGGTGAGACGTAATTCATAATAAGAGAGAAAGTCTTTGGGTAAAGATGTAGCTTATTAAAAACTTAAATCAGGTCGTCTCTCAGAACCGCTCTGGTTGGTGGTGAAGACGGGAGAAAGGTTAAGAATGTAGCTACAAATGAGCCAAATTTCCTGAAACATCCAACATTTTTTTCCAAGATGCTAATTCCTGCAGGACATGTTCTGGTACGTAATAAAAAGTTAAATCTGAGTCTTAACCTCTGTGTCATTCTTCCAGAAAAGTATTTATCAAATAATATGAAGTGCAAGCTAGAGCTCCCTGCCTTGCTTTGAATTTTATTGCACTAAGTAAAGATGAAAATGCTAGTTGATGTGAGGGGGGACCTCATGGAGCAGTGGTAAAGGGCTTGGCTATTAACCCAAAGGCTGGTAGTTCAAATCCCTTAATTGCTCTGTGGGAGAAAGAGGAGGCTGTCTGCATCTGTAAAGATTATGGCTTTGGAAACCCTATGGGACAGTCCTCTGTTCTGCAAGATCACCAAGAGTTGGAATCAATTCAGTAGCGATAGGCTAAGTTGAGGGGAACCACAAAGCCCTCTCTGATGAAGGATATTTTATTCTCACTCTTAAAATAATGCAGAAAAGCCAGAGTCCATGTTCTACCTGCCAGCAAACCAAACAGAAGATGCTAAGGCCAGTGTGCAGTGGGTAAGTGCTCAGCAGCTTGTCAAAAGGTTGGAGGCTCAAATCCACCCAGAGGTGGATTTGACAGAAAGGCCTGGAGATTCACTTCTTAAAGATTTCCCACACCCACCACTTCCCACAGAGATGGAACCTGAATCCAGATGGCTTCACACAATGCAGCAATTGGCTCCAGTGTGTCAGGGATTGTGAGGATGGTACAGGATAGGACAGGGTTCAGATCATACTTAATCCCACATCACCCAACCACCACCACAACAAACGGTGCAAAAGTAAATTTGTCATTTAAATCCAAACACTTATGGTAACTTTTGTTAGAGGAGCATTAGACACCCAAGACTTTTTATCTCCTAGATCTAAAAGAACTCATGAATTATACACTCCAGCATCAGTACCAATATATAAAACCCACTGCCATGGACTCGATTCTGAAGCAAAGCTACGTTACAGAACAGAGCAGAACTGCCCTCGCTGCTTCCAATGCTGTTGTCTTTCTGGAAGCCCACTTCTCATCCTTCTCCCGGGCAGCAGCTGGTGGATTCAAGCTGGTCACTTGGCAGAGCGCAGCCAAGTGCTTGATCGCTGTGCTACCACAACTCCTTCTTCTAATCCCATTTTTGTTTGATTGCCTAGTTTGCTCTTTGTTTGGTTTTGGGAATTGAACCACCAGTTTCTGAATGCTTCCTATTTTAATCGTCAACCAGCAAAAACCTTGAGGAGCTTTTGCACAAGGAAATGCCAGACTGTTAGCCACCGAAATGGCCAATCTCTAAAATAGGAAGAACGTGGACAGTCTTCCTACCACTCACACCTGGGTCATTAACTTTACATTTAATTCACTGCACCTTACATGATATAAAAGTTCTTTAAAAGAAAAGAAAAACCTGTGTGATTGAAAATGTTCACTAGGAGAAAGAAAAATTGTAGTAACACTGACATTCCTTCTGTCACTGTTTATGAGAGAAGCGTGTCTTCAATGTCCTTCTCTGAGTTGACTTGACACCAGCTGCTCAGAGGGGTCAGGGTGTTAACAGGACATACCTATTTATCACCAGACTTGTCACCAGGCAACCATCAGAAGCCTACCCTCCCAGTGACCTAAAGCCAGGCACAAGTTCTTTTCATGAGGCATTACAGTGAATTAAGGCTGAGCAGTGAACAATTTCCTGCCGACCACTGGAGGTACCTTTCCCATAATGTTGCACTCCCACACCCCCAGCCTGTGACTGAGTGAGTTCCAAAGCCACCTCCAGAGAGCTAACCAACCCATGTCATTTCCATTGACCCCCAATGTCAGGGGAGTTCTCTGAGCTGCCTATAGCCAGGGTCAAGGGCTGGCTGACAGGGCACAGGACAACAAAGCTCATAAAGACTTGGGAGAAGCCTGTCAGCCTTCATCTGACCATGCAGAGAGAGGAAGAGAGCAAATGACCCCTGCAACGTAAAAATGTGGAGGAAGGCGTGGTCTCCACACAGTGCTTGGACTGGTCTCTGTTTTCTCTATCAATAGCAGGAAGCTCCTGACATTTGAAGCACACTCCCCACTGGCTTATGCTCTTATCCAAGTTGCTGTGCAGGAAAGTGAGGAGACAGATCCTGCTGTTCCTCCTTCTAGAATGGATTCTAATCACCAGCCAAACCAAAAGGACCACTGCCATCAAGTCTCAAGACCCTCCAGGACAGAGTAGCGTCGCCTAGGGGTCCAGGACTGTCAATCTTTATAGAAGCTGTACACCACGTATACAGCAGTGTTACCTCTACACTTCTCATACAGCAGCTGATGCCTCTATACTTCTTGTAGACCAAGTGATGGGTTTGAACCACTGACCCTCAAGTTAGCAGCTGAATTCTTAAACCACTATGCCTGTGAGGCTCCTCAATCACCAACAGTGTACACTAGTGTCCAAACTGGTTCACATGCTCTATCAAGTCAGGATTTAGAAATTTTCAGGTTACCAAAGGTTTAAAAAAAGAGGCAAAACTCCCAAACTTCTCAGTTGTTGTGTACCTGCAAGTAGGAACTGACCCATATCTGACCCTTCAGTGTGTTTTCAGGGGCAGTAAATAGTAAAGGAGGAAACTCCAGTAAAAATATGATTTCAATAAATGCAGACCCGGCGCACTGACTTGGTGTAAGGATGTGATGTAGAAGTTATGTAATGATCTCCCACGATGTAATAAGCCAATAATTTATAAGGGGATTAAGGTGAGGTGAATCGACACCCATTATAACCTTTATCCAGTGGAGGAGTCTCCCTGCTGTGTGGCTTGCAATGTTTTAAGCTTGCAAAGGATATAAGGAAAGATAAGTGGACAGAAAGGGAGGGACCTTGGTCTCACCAAGAAAGAGTGAGAACCAGACTATGCCCCTTGCGCCCAGGTCCTTGTGCTGAGAAGCTCAACACAAGGGAAGGCCAAGACACATAGAAAGCAGTAAGAACACTGCACTCAAAGAAGCTGAAAGGAGACAAAGCTTTTTTCCCTCCAGAAGCACCAGACAGAAGGCCTTTCCCTAGAGCCAGCACTATGAACTCAGACTTCCAGCCTCCTCCACTAGGAGAAAATAAATTCATACTTGTCCAAGCCATGCACTTGTAGCATTTCTGTTAGAGAACTAGAAAATCTGATAGGGAGCTGGTAGCTTGGTTGTTCATAAATTTATAATACTCCAACTATACAGAACATTTTTTTAGTATTGTCAACATCTGTATTATAAGGAGATGTTACAGATGCATTCACTAACAGGGAAGCTGAGAACATGCCTGTCTTTGCAAGCAAGCATAAACACAAACTCTTGATCTTAGGGATTTAAGGGGTTCTGAGGGTGTAATAGGGCTACCCACTACAGAGTTGTGGGTTTGAAGGATATGCACTTGATTACTTTTTTAAGGCTCATTCAACACTATCCTATTGTCAAAACCAGTTTCCTCCTAAATGAAACAATCTGAAGAAATACAACTGATTTTCACTACTAGGAAATGAAACTACAATTCGCTCTGGCAGAGAAATCTCAAACCAGCAAGGAAAGGTACATAAAATCAAAGGGGAAGATTCATGGAAAGGTATCATTATGGACTTAATTGTGATTCCCAAAATACCTGTCAACTTGGCTAGGCCATGGTTGCTTCTAAGTATTATGTAATTACTCTGTATGTTGTAAATTCAGGCTCTGTGATGCTGACGAGGCAGGATGAGTGACAGTTGTGCTAAGGGGATAGAATAAAATCTATATATAGAATTAGGCTGAATTTCAAGTCAGTCTCCTGTGAGAAATAAAAAATAAACAAACTGAATAAAGATCAGAGTAGGCAACAACCAGCAGGAGCGAAAGAGTGGACAGCATCCTCTGTACCCGGGGACCCGGTGCTGGGAACCTGCGAGAGCCAGGGGAAGACTGACGCCATGGCACACAGAGATCGCGAAGGGACACCAGGCCCACAGACGTGGGAAGGAGCCAAGGACCTTCCCCTAGAGTCAGCCGAGAGCCTCACCCTAAAGTCACCAACCTGGAATGGATTCCTAGCCTCCTAAACTGTGAAAAACTAACTTTCTGTTTGTTAAATATCTTGCTTTTTAAGTATTTGTTAAATATTTATGCTACAGTGTCACTAGAGAAAAGAGACAAGTCCACCTGCTGTGTCTGTGCCACAGCTGCATTAAGAGAACTCAGAAACACTCACCTGTCCCAGCAACACTGGAGAACTAAGGCAAGCAGTAGTATCCTAAACCCAGAGCTGTCTTCACAGAGGTTAAGAAACTTCCTTTGGGATGGGATTAAAGAGCTGGGTGAGGGAATGAATCAAGGGAGCTCTGCTGGCGTGGCTGTAAGAAAAGGCACTAACTGTGTAAAGGCACATGGTTTGAATCCACCGGCTGCTCCACAGGAGGAAGACGGCCAATCTCCTCCCATTTACGGCCTCTGAAAACCTGACTCAACAGTACACAACAACAACAACCTGCTGGAGACTCTAGAAGGCTTCAATCCTGTCTCCCTCATTCCTCAATTCTTCCTCTCTTTCTTATTGCCAGTCATTAATGACAAAGAAACTGGGAAGTCACAGAGCTTTTCACTCTCCTTCCTTCAAAGCAGTGTTTCTTTCTCCTGCATTCCTTACGTGGTGCCTTTCTCTAAGCCTTCATCAACATCATATGTTGGCATTTATTCTGTCTTTTAATATTCTGAACACAGATGAAGATCAAAACACCAAAACTTTTTAAAGCAAACAAATCAACAATGGCAGCCATTGGGTGGATTCAGACTCACGGTGACGCCATGGGAATCAGGGTAGCACTGTGCTCCACAGGGCTGTGCTCCACAAGGACTGGCTTTTTAGACAGTGATTGCCAGGACTTTCCTCTGAGGCACCTCTGGGTGTGTTCAAACCTCCGCATAGTTAGCAGGCCAGTGAGTTAACCGCACCGCCAGGAGCTCATGACACTGAAGCCAGACAGAACATATCTTTCCCTGTATCAGAGATGGCCCAGAGCCCAAAAAGATAGAGCTTTCCACAAACATTCTTATCCAGAACGGGAAACATAATGCATTTACATCACCATCCCCAACAGCAAAATATACGAAACTGGAAAACATCCCAATATCCATTTCCCCCGCTTCCAGGTCTAGGAGAAATCATCTAACCTAATAAAACGTCCAAAGAACAACAAAGATCCACTAAAGTACAAAAGATAGTTAGTTAAACAGAATTTCTCCCAAAGAAAATATCATTAGTCATATGAAGCACTGTAAAGAGTTTATGTTGTTTAAAATAGTCGTTTGCATTTCCTCTCTGATCTATCCCTGCCTTCTCATCCCTGTACATGTATTTTTTGGTGTCTCTCATGCCAAGTGATGTAGTTGCGAAAGAATCCAACTCGTAAGCACAAAGTCAGCACTTCTAATCCACTAGCCTCAGCTTCAATTTGTCAAATCAGTTTGAGTGTCAGAATCATAGACAAGTGCCCTGGGCACTGAGGACCAAGGAGCCCCGGTGGCAAAGGGGTCAAAGCACTGACTGAAAAGGCGGGTGAGAGATTGCTCTGAAGGCAAGAGATGAGGCAGGCAGTCTACTTCCATACAGGTGACAGTGTTGAATCCCTGGGGAGCCATCTGTACTCTGTCCTACAGGTTGTCATGAATCAGAATCAACGTGCTGATGATTGGTTTGCACTAAAGACACTCAATATTGGCATCCTTTGCCTTGGGTTCACAAACTGCACCTCAGGCCTTCCTTTAGGTGTCCCTGTTTCATCAAGGAAAGGCTTCAAGCTCTTTAAGGTTGCCAGGACGGTAAAAACTGTGGAGTCAATCCCAGCTCATGGTGAGTGACCCTGCAGGACAGAGGAGAGCTGTCCCACAGGGTTTCCAACCACCACCTAAAAGGTGCACAAAGTAGCCATTTAATTCTTGGAAACAATGGGGGGAGGTGGTCAGTAGAGAAAGCAGGAATTTCAGCTTTGTCCCCTAACCTCCTGGATGGCAGATTAATCAAAGTGCTGGCCTCATCCTGCCCTTTCATATTGTCTGAAATTATTGTTAAGTTCCATCAAATGATCAGCCAGTCAAATCCACCAACTGCTTCTCCAGAGACACCACAAGAAAGTCAGTCTCCTCTTGTAGAGATTACAGCTTCAGAAACCCACAGGCCCAAGCACAATCAATAAGAGTGCATCTAAATTCCAAAATCAATCTCCATAATAGTCTATGTGTTTCCTACTGCCAAAGGGGCCCTTTAGAGTAGTGAGAGA